TATATGTATGTATATGTATATATATGTATGTATATATATATATATATATATATATATGTATATATATATATATCGTATTTATATACATACAGTGTGATTCTAAAAAGATGGGCAAAATTTTTATCAAAGAATGCATGGTCGAAAACAAAACGCGAAAGTGCTGGCGCATTTGGAAAGTTGTTTGATGCAAACGAGAAAGCTCCATTCCTATTGCGAGTTACTGCGCTACGTTATTTGTTGACAAGCTTTCGGCCGCTGCAGGGAAAGTTCGCCTATCTTTTCTTCGCCGTTGTACCACCATAGCCGCTGCCGGCCACTGTTTTGAACACTTATTGTAAGCACATGCCATTAAATTTGCTTTTATAACTTAACTTCATCGTTCCTTGTGTGTTTTTGCCTCATATAAGAACATAAGCTTTGACGCCCTCTAGCGGTTTTGGGTTTTGTTTTCGACCATGCATTCTTTTATAAAAATTGTTTGCTTGGGTGTGTACTATAACTTCCTAAAATTTAGCCCATCTTTTTAGAATCACCCTGCATTTAGATACATATATATATACTCATTTTTTCCATTTTAACTTATTTATAATGTCGATCGTCACTGGTGAATGTCCGAAATATTTGTTATATTCGATTTGTTGTTAATTTATTCATTGATGTAGTTATATTTATTCGATATTCTTATATCTGCTGAAGATAGCTTTGGAGAAATATCAGAGTTGGGATTACCGGTTAAATGCAAAGAGGGCAGTGGCTCTAGAGCTTTAAAAAACATTGATGTAGGGCATACCGAGCAAGGGCACTTAACTTGATATTTTGCACATTTACCACAGCTACGATGTGATTGTCAACATTCACCGGTGGAAGTCAACAACCACTGATTTGGGGCATTCACAGTAACATACATATATAATGTAAGAAACAGATAAACCCCCTCCAAACGGACATTAAAACTATGACACAGGCCGTAAAACATAATAAGAAAAACAAAATATGAATTATTTTGCCAGGGGGCTAATAATTTTCAGCACACATATGCAGAATTCAAGTTTTAACTGAGTAAAAGACGATAAATTTTTCTAGTGTTAAATGTTATTTAATTTATTTTTTTTAAATACGGAGTTTTATATTTAAGTGTAATGCAATGCTGAATCAAATCTCAGTTTCAAAACTATTTTAATTATACAAAATCAATAATCATTGTAAAGAATCTAACATCAATTATAGTAGAAATATTTAAAACTCGGGGATTGCATTTCAACATTATTCAAAAAGTTAAAGTGATTAAATCTATGTCGCCATACCTATCAACGTACACAATGTATATTCCTGTTGATACTATTTTTAAATGTCAAATAAATATAAATTTAAGAGCTTCATAAAGATAACAGAACTACTAAGTCAAAAGAACAATAATTGTTTTTAGAATTATCACATTTTATAATATTTAAAACTGCTTTTTTAAGTTTTCGCGCACATGCTTTTAGTGGCCTTTTATTAAAAATCACTCTTTTTATGTGGAATTTTACCAAATACTTTAAATGTTCTGAATCAACAAACTCTGCTCAAATTATTAGACGCACTGTAAGATTCTACATAAAATCTTAATAATCAGGTGATACTTTGCAACTTTAACGTTTTAACGCGGCTGTAACCGGTTTACGCTTGTTTAAGTTTGTGTATTAATTGGTTAACATTGTAATGCAATATGTTAAAAATAAACACAAATGGGAAGCATATAAAAAATCTCCATAGAAACCCATTACATTTATGTTTAAATTTAAAAGTATTGCATATGTACTCGTGCAACACATGTAATTATAGAACGCAGTGTATCTAATAATTTGGTCTAATTATTATACTATGCTAATATAATACATAATGTAATAAATATTCTATATTTATATAATATATCGTCTAATTTATCCAATCATTAAATTTATATTATATATCGTCTAATTTAACCAATTGATACACGATCGAAAACAAGTGCAAATCGCGTAAGAACAATAAACCTGTATAGTATCATCTGATAATTAAGATTTTATATAGAATATTACAGTGCAACTAATAATTTCGCCAGGGACTGTATGGAAATGCTGGAAAGCTTGAACGTTCACGAATGTTTCAGTGAGGGTAAAACTATAAATTTTATTACACTGTTTTTCTTGAATCTAAAAAGCGAAGGTCCACATATGTGAACAAAAGTAATATTAAAGAGCTTAAACTGACTTATGAATATTTAAAATTTATTTACCAAAAGGTTGATCAAAAAAAATTTTTAAGTTTTTGTCTTGACATTATTATTTTTTAAATTTTATATTGTTACCTTCAACTAACTGGAAAAATAAGAGAGTAAAAAAGAATAAAAATAAGCTATAGATTTTTAAGTTATTTGCTTTTGTTTAACTGTTACTCAGATAACTAAAAGCAATAAAAACATTGCACAAAAGAAAGAATTTTTTTGAGTCAATAAGCAAATAAGTAAGAGATAAGCATTTTCATTTCTAAAATGCAAACCCCCTTCCCATTAAGGGAAATTTCAATAAACAATTTTGAGCACAAGACAAATGTTATTTCGTAATAGAATTTTAAAAAAAAAAACAATTTGTAATAACAAAAATGTTAAGTTAATTAAAAAAATAGTTATTTTCCAAAAAATACAAAATAAGCACTTTTTAAAATCTTTTTTTCAAAACTCAGAAACAAAAATTTCCATTTTCAATTAATTTACAAACACTTTAAAAACGAATAATTTTTCAATTTATGACAGTATGAACATGTATATTTTAAATATTTTTGAATGAAGAAAAATTCCTTTTGATTGGGATGAAACCCTTTTTAAAGAAAGAAAAAGGGAAAAAAATATAAAAAGTTTATTCACACTATTTACATCAGAAATTATTAAAGTTTTCTTTTTCACATTAGAAATACATGTTGATTAATATGGTATAAAAAAAAAAATCATTCCTCGTGATTTACTTTTTTCTCCAGCCACAATAAACTTTAGTAATTTAAAAATAAATGATTATAAAACTTCATTGTTTGCACGAAATAATCTTTAGGTAAATGGGTTTCATGAGTGGGGGCAATCTAATTAGAAATTGCTCAAGTAGTCTGAAAAATAAGATTAAAAACTCAAAAAGTGAAAATAACTGTTAGTGGACCAAACTTTTAACCGTTCTCCCGACCAAACAATTACAATTAGAGCCACAATCTCCTCATTGTATTCAAAAGGTTTAGAATTCAAAAATATATGTAAATATATATATATGTATATATATATATATATGTGTGTGTGTATATATATATATCTATATATATATATTGCGCATTGCACACATTTATCTTGTAAAACATGAAAGTCGTGAATTTATTAATTAGTTTCTATTTTATTTTGTGATTTGTTTATTATTTCTTATTTTTGTCCTATTCTTAATTAATTTCAGATGGTCACCATTGATTTTCTGAAAAAAAAGAAGAGTTACTGGTCCCTCCACTGGCAAGTGAAATGTGGCTATTTGCAACTAAAATCGAGGTGAAGTAACTAAGGCTACTATTTTTTTTATTACAAGAAATAGCTAAAAAGTTGGCAATTTCGGAAAAAATTAGTCTTATTTTACAAATATCTGACTATTTAAAAAGTATATTGTTGCTGAACTATCGAGTAGTGTCAAATATAATTATCAAATTCAAATAATTATGTCAGAACCCGAAACACTGTGTGAAAATGGCCGAAAAACAATCAATATAAAGTTCAGTAAACCAATATGAATATATAATGCAATCATCACAAGCTATATGAAAAAGTGATAATTAAATTTCCAAATCGCGTGCCGTCATTCACAAACCTATAGAGGACGTTATTATTACGTACAGTTGCTCTGAAGATTTCTTCAGTCTAATATGGTTGCATCCTGTGGTCGGAAAAACTACATTTTCTTTGTAGTTAACTATAACTACTTCTTTTTTAATGTTGCGACTACAAACTACTTTCGAAATGTAGTCACTGCTTTGCTACTTATGGAAGACAAAAACTTAACTGGATATCTTAATTTTCACCTATATTAAAAATGATTTTGAATAAAAAATTGATTTGGTTAAATATGAGGAGATAGTCTTAATTCATGTTTTTATTTTTATTGTTTATTTAAATTGTTTTTATTTTAAAGCATTTTTTACGAATTCGTTCCTTTAATTTTCAAACTCTAAGCTTTTTTCGACAGTGATTTAAGAAATGCTTGGAAACTGTCAAAGGTCATTTAAGTTATAAAAGCTTTCTTTATATCCTCCAAGAAATAAAGTACAGAGCGTAAAGCAAAAACGGACCACCCTGAATAACTTCTGATCTAATGATCGGATCCCCACGTTCTCAATCTTAATGATTTGAGAAGATGACCACCAATATGCCAATTAATAAATGCAGTGGATAATTTAAGTCTCGAAATCAGACACGAAAACGTACTTTATAGTTCCTGCAAAATCAAATTTTGGAAAAGAGCGGTTTTTAAAATTTGATTTCTCAGGAACAACTGGGCCGATTACTCATCAATTTTTTTCGAAATTTTTTGAGTTTAAACTTGGTTTCTTTATTTAATAACGTTAAAAGAAGTTATCAAGGATCGCTACAAACCACATTTTTTTTCCGTATCGCACCACTCACTGCAAAACTTCTTTTAAAAAGCTGCGCACGATACGAACGACTACGGAAGAAAGTAGAAAATACAGTAGTTTCGCTACTTGCAGCGCGCTACTGCCGACAACTGATTACAGTAATAAGTATCCGTAATAGTATGACAATTAATAAATGCAGTGGATAATTTAAGGCTCGAAATCAGACACAAAAACGTACTTTATAGTTCCTGCAAAATCAAATTTTGAAAAAGTGCGGTTTTTGAAATTTGATTTCTCAGGAACAACTAGGCCGATTACTCATCTATTTTTTTCGAAATCTTTTGAGTTTAAACTTGGTTTCTTTATTTAATAATGTTAAAAGAAGTTATCAAGGATCGCTACAAACTAAATTTTTTTTTGTATCGTACCACTCACTGCAAAACTTCTTTTAAAAAACTGCACACGATACTACCAACTACGGAAGAAAGTAGCAAATACAGTAGTTTCGCTACTTGCAGCGCGCTACTGCCGACAACTGGTTACGTCCCTTTTCAATTACGGCAAGGCACTTAAATATCTTCATTTTAATTTACACGAAAATGAACATTAAAAAACTTATTTTGCAGTAATAAGTATCCGTAATAGTATGCGATTACGAAATCAATAGTTCTCAGTTCACCGAAATGATATTAGAAGTTCGTCGATAAGGAAATCATTAATGAAAAATATGTTTTGACATGTTGTTTGCGTTCAGTTAAAAGAAAGA